TTTAGGGGTGTTTTGATAGGAGAATGTTGGATTTTCATGGAAATGGAATTTATATTCTCACGTTAGTCTAAAAATCTCATTTTCTATAATATAAGATTATCAATAATAAAATACGAATATATTTTTCCACGTCGATTACTTTCACTGAGTCCCGTTTTATAAAGTAGTTAAATATTTCTCTGAATTTTAACATCACAGAGTGGCTGTAGTTTAGTGTTTAGAATTCCACGTTGTGGCTGTTTAGACCTGGGCTCGAATCGCAGCAGCCATATTTTTTTGGATTAGGCTGAAGCATCTCATTCCTCATGGCAGCTTTTGGGAACATTTCGAAGAAAGCTTTGTAATATTTTAGAACCACAAGTAAAGATTTGCTCAAATCCTTTTGAAAGCTTTCTAGGTGCATCCAAGTTTTACTTTAATTTGCTCTTCTTCTGAGTTATGTTTAGCTTCCTATGTTATTCTTTATTCAATATTCATCCACAATACATCATTGTTCAGTAAAGCACTCGAAAGTTGTTCCTAGAATTATATATATATATATATATATATAATTTCAACAAAAATGGAATTGAATATTGTACGTGTTGTTAAACAAGACTCACCAAATACTTGGTTAAAAACACTTGAAAACCGCCGTATCTCTTATAACAATATACACTTCCCCTGCTAAAAGTTAAATGGAATTCTGAAAACCAATGCTAAATCCTTTTTCTTTTCTTTTTTTTTTTTTGAAGAGGTACATTGTAAAAGAGATTATATATACATATAAAGTATCACAATGAATAATCTGATTGTAAAGTGTACTTTGTTGCACATAAGCTTGATAATTACAAAGACAATAGCTTCATTTCTGATCCCATTCCTGTTGAACCAGCTTTTGGGCCTTTTTTATAGATCATAACCAGCCAAATTCATTAGCAACCATTTCCCATGCTATATATTATCAAAATCTTACAGCAAACGAGACCATAAAGTTCAGTAAACACGTCATGATAGAGAGAATTGGCACGGGGAATATGACAATAATTTATTGCCTTACATAAAACATATTGGACAACAAAGTAGAGCTGCGGACCTAGCTGCAATGAACCTAATTTTCCTAAATAAAGTATCAATTTCTGGCAGAAAGGATTTAAAAACAGTAGGGACGGCATGCACTCTCAAATAATATCAAAATATTTAGCCAAGTGGGTTGTTTCTAATAAAAGGCGCCTCTTTCATTGAGATGGAAAGAAATGGTTTTCAGGATCATATAATCCTGCCATGATAGCTATAAGAACCCACAACATGAGCAGGCCTATTATGGCAGTTCTCAATACCTGGTCACAGCCCCAACTCTGGTCGATATTATCCTGGTAAATTAGATCCAGGGTGGATAGATCCTCACTGTCACTAACATCTTCATTTGTACGTATCTTGTTGAACTGAGCAGTGCGAGGACGCTTCACGTCATGGAGAATATTTAAGCATTTTGTGCACCTACAGTCTCCACCAAGATATGATGGGAGAGTCTGAAGATTCTCCAGGAGAACTTTGCGGTATATTTCTCCTCCAATCTTTAACTTTTTCCTAGTAACTGGTTTCAGAACCTGAGAAAAGCCACAAATTAGTACCAAAATAATAGGAAGAAAACTAAGAACTAAACCCTTATCATATTTGATGCCAAAGAATAAAAGACAAAAAGACATGACATGGAATATATGTTATAATACATTCATATTGTAGTCAAAGAACGAGAGTTAACCTGAATAAAAGTCTGAGCAATGACACGAACAACCGGAGGAAGTCGTATAACAAACAAACAGCCAAGACAGTTGGGGTAGTGGTCTTGCAAGAGGGAAGAACACAATCTTATTAATTGCATGGGAATCCTGAAAGGAGATAATCCTTCACAGTCCACTAAAACCGTAACTTCAGGATTTTCTGAATTGACTAAATGCATGACTCCAAGTTCGACTTGAGAAACTGCAGCAACAACCATTTCTTTTTATCATAACATCATCCACAGATGCAACTAAAAGACGAGTACTAGAAGGAAAAAACTGAGACCAAAACATTGATGAATGACTTCAAAAACTAACCCATAGTGATGAGCAAAAAGATACAGTTTTGTCTCTGTTTGTGTCTTATAACAAGTGAAAGACAATGATTTTAGATTCCACCATGCTTTTCCCACAGAAAATAAATTGAATTCCATACATAAAATGCTGGTCCAGAAAATAGATTCTTTTAAGAAAGTTCTGATTTTGAGTTATGAAAAATTAGCTTGACAAACCAAAAGAAAAGAAAGCACTGCAAAGGTACAGAAAAGTATCCATCTTGGTGGAAATAGGATGTGGTACAGGAACATGACAATGTTTCATTGACCTCTGAATTGGATACTCCAGGTGGCTATTTCAGATGGAAAAAAGATTTCTTTGAAAGAAACTTTACCCATCAACTTATATTAAACAAAAAAAAATAAAGATTTGAAACCAATAAAAGTCTCATTAGGTTTCAAATGGTAGCAAAATGGAAAGCTAAATAGTATGTCAGGGGATAAAAACATACCGACTGCCTGAGCAAAACGAGGTCTGTCATGAGATGGCAAGCGAGAGCAAGCTAGCCCAAGCCGTACAATGAGGCAAGGTCGGTGCATGAGATCATATCCATGCCAGAATACCATGTTCGCCCACGTCTCAAGCTCTTCTTGAGAAAGAAGTCTATATGTCTCCCTCCATCTGATTGTCTTTTTAATTAATGACATGAAAACTACAAAATCGCCATTTGCAGCTGTATAAAATCTATGGAGATATTCATCATTGATTCTGCATAAACAATACACTGTCATGGTCTGCTGCAAGAAAAGAACCAAGCAATTGAAAAATGAATATGCATATATGCATATGCCAAAAAAACGAATAAATCCCAAAAACATAGTTGGATGCCACCCTGAAAATTTTACAGCTGAAACCTCTAGAGAGGAAGCCGACATTTGAGAGAGATGAAGAACACACAGAGAAAATGAAAATGCGTCCATTCATATACAGATGTAATCAAATCACCTTTCTGGTAACCTAATTCCTTGGTTTTCCAGCTCCTTGTGGAGTTTGTCCAGCCAGCTTTCACACTCTAGATTTTGGGAAGCTTCATTACTGATTCAGCAGTTTACATAGAATTAAGAGGTTAGTAAACAAAGCTCATTATTGATTACATACTCAAGTTCCTAATAGGAGTAACATACAAATGCATCTGAAGTTGTCACTTGATAGTCAACTAGAACAACAAATTGCTTGATACATGCAAACCCAGAATATTTAAGGGGGAAGTCTGGTCCAAACTTATTCAACCTAATAGATAATTCATTTTATTTGGTACTACTTGAACATATGCAAATCAGAAAAAGTTCCTCGTGAGAAGAAAAATCCATCAGAACTGAAGTGGATAGAAATCGACCAAATCTGAACTACAGAACCAATCAACAGTATAATATTAGTTACTAGTAAATCTTTATGTGCGGGAAATTTTCATAATCTGTGTAGACCAGATAGAATTTACCCTTAGCTCCAGAGATCAATAGACATCATTTTACAATAAGGGAAAATACATTACCAATTTTATATTTTGTGGGAGCAAATATAGCTTCCTTTCAAGACTGATGGTTGATAAGTCAGTAAAACAACGTAAAAGTCTGCAAAAGAAAAACTTCACATACTTGAATGCACCTATTTACCTTGCATCCGAGGCCGACTGCAAAGAGGATTCCTCAGAATGCAACTCTGAGTTCACCAGAGAATCAGTATTAGTACTAGCTCTTGATGCTTCACCAACTACCTCTTCTAGATCAGAAAGTGATGTCGCGATTGAAAGTACCAATAGCGGTCTCGACAATGTCTGGTACAAAGTCAATCAGTTGCTCAAATTAAGCCCTTCATCATAAATAATTCCACCAAGCAATTACTGGAAATGCAAATCTCTACAAATTTGTTAAGAACAAACCTGCATCCCTTTAATCAAACCCTTAATGGGAACCCATTTCTGAACACAATTAAAGGGCGGATAGCAAATAACTTGCAGGGCCTGAAACCCGCGCCATAAAAAGGGACACTTAGACTTTGAGACCCTTCTAACAGTTTCTAATGCAGCAACTTTGAGAAAAAATATTGCTGCATGACCTGCTGCATCCTTAACATTTACACGATTCCCTAAGGCAGTTAATTGCCTGGAAACTGATCTAGGACTCAAAGAAACAACTAAATTCCCTTTATAACCTTTTTTCTCTTCCATGAATTTTTTTTTGAGAAAACTATGAAAATTTCCACATTTTCTAGTAATCAGATCAAAGTCAAACGAGAAAGCTCCAACTCTTCGAATCTAACTAAAACATCAACCTGCAAACGAGATACGGTTTGAAATCAGGTATTTATCAAACAAATAGTTTTGAAAATTACATATTGCTATGAAAAAAAAGAAAGAAACAATACCTGAAAATCTCCATGAAAAATTTGGTTTCGGTAGAAAGTGTTTCTGGGGAAATTTATTAATTTATTTAGCATTGCAATGGAAGTAGAAGTGAATGGTGGCGTTGGGTAGGGCCCTACACGTGGTAATTAGGCAAACGACAGCTCAGCTAAGTGAGACGTGTACGGTAGTTATGCAAAGAAACTCGTCTTAGTCAAATGGGAAGAGTTTTTGGGTAATCAATCTAACTGCTATTGTTGACTCGGTTGGGGGGATTCTAGAATCACAATACTAAACTCAGCTAATCTAACATCAAATTATCATATTGTAATTGTAAATTAACTTTATGAAATTTATAATCACGATAAATTATTATAATTTTATAATAAGGTTTAATTAGTCAAAATATCAGTTACCATTAATTTTGTTTAATATGTGAAACAATTTGCCCTTATAATAATTTGACTCAACAATAATGTTTGCCAGCCAAGAAACGTTTTGAGAGTTGTTACAATGAATCCAACCAAAAAGGAGAATTTAACTGTGAGAATTTCAGATGGCATTCTACAGGGACAAACCCAACTGAACTCATGGCATTCCCGGGGGACACATACTGTAGAGAAGAACAAAAAGAAGCAGGCCGCAGATCATAACACTTCTTGTGACCGTCTCACGCAGCGGCTAACTTTCTTCCTGAATTCGTCTCTCATCTCTCTCCATTCTTTCTGCAAATATTGTCAAAAAGAAACATATGAAATACCACCATAGATGTGGCATTACAACACACGATGGATGGCACAACTGCATCTTACACCACCATAAAATCTGAATACTCATTTCATTTTAATTAATGATGGAAACATGAGCTTAATCCCAACAAGCTTTTTAAAGAAAGTTTCGTCACATTAACCTCTTGGTACATGTCATGATCCTAGCTTGAATCCAACATTCACAAGGAACATTGCAGGTAAATGCAAAAATCAATTAGCCATACTGAAAGTTGAAAGGAAATATATCATTTGAGACGATCACTTACTGCAGCTTCAACGTTTGCTGGAGATTCGTCGTTAGGGCTGGAAAGCATTGATATGATACTCAAAACAATACTTTCAACCTGCCAAATAGTATGAATGCACATCTGTTAGTGCACCATCACAGGGTCAAGAAACAAAAGATGAGTGAAAAACAACAGTCACGAGCAGATTGACAAACATTTCAAACCATACATAAATTAATATCCGATAATCACAATTGAAAGTATCTCAAAAAAATCTTCTGGATCAATAATAAAATAAATGAAGAGGAAATAACAAGAGAGACTAAGTTGTTGAAACTTTTGACAGTACCTCAACTAAGCCTTTATTTCAAACCAATTATGTAAATGTACATGAATTTTTTTATCCATTTCATCCAATTTAAGCTACTCAGACGATTTACAAGTTAACCCATGTTTTATTGTTTTCTGTCCGATATCTTGCACCTTTAACATAGTTATTAATTCATTCCAATAGGGTTATTATATTTTTGGTTCACATAGAGATATGATCAATACATTAGTAATTCTTAACTTATATTAGCACCCACCAACAGAAAGAAAAATATATTCCATAGAAAATTTTTATTGACATACACATTTATCCAATACAACATCAATTTTACATGTCTAGCTCTCTATCACCTGAGAAACCATTGCAATAATCATCTAGTGCCCCTTTAATTCACCCGTCAAGATTAAGAGGTTTTTTATGGTCATAAAATATTCTAGTCACATTGGTGAAATCCATCAAACTCACTTATGCCACAAAATACATCATTTTCAAACATCATTCTAGTAAGATTAAATCATTAAGTATCAGGATAAACTGCAATACACATAAGGAGAGAATTATGAATACAAATAAATCATTCAGTGTCAGAATAAATCATTCTAATAGCATTCATATAGAATGTTGATTTCTAATTAGATGCACATCTCTTCTTTCCTATCTTCCTTCTTTTTCTGATAAACAATTTGCTTGATTGCAATCAAGTAAATAAACTCCAAGAAATTTGAAATCTATGGCATTATGAATATGAATGTTTTTAGCACATGAACAGGCACGAACAAAAGAAAATTAAAAAATATATGGCATGTCATAAACATACCGTATGGATTGGCATCCAACGCTCACTTGAAAGCTCATAGCCATTTGGATCATCACCAGGAGGATGAAGAATTGATATGCAAACACGCCCATCAGGATAAACTGCAATACACATAAAGATGGAATTAGTTCATGTATAATATAAAGGCAAGTAAGAAACTGAGAAAACAAAAGGTATACAGTTAGGATGCCAAATCTCTGATGTAAATTTCACTGTTGGAGGGCTGTTTGGATAATTATGTGGAAAACTCATGATGGCATTGAAAAAACCCCCCTCACTGAAAAAAAATAGAATATTTATGTTCAACAAGATTGAAAATAAAAATAATAAAATGTCAAGATTACTAAAACCAAATACCAAAAACAATTATTCTCACAGCAACAAATACTATGGCATTATGAATATGAATGTTTTTAGCACATGAACAGGCACGAACAAAAGAAAATTAAAAAATATATGGCATGTCATAAACATACCGTATGGACTGGCATCCAACGCTCACTTGAAAGCTCATAGCCATTTGGATCATCACCAGGAGGATGAAGAATTGATATGCAAACACGCCCATCAGGATAAACTGCAATACACATAAAGATGGAATTAGTTCATGTATAATATAAAGGCAAGTAAGAAACTGAGAAAACAAAAGGTATACAGTTAGGATGCCAAATCTCTGATGTAAATTTCACTGTTGGAGGGCTGTTTGGATAATTATGTGGAAAACTCATGATGGCATTGAAAAAACCCCCCTCACTGAAAAAAAATAGAATATTTATGTTCAACAAGATTGAAAATAAAAATAATAAAATGTCAAGATTACTAAAACCAAATACCAAAAACAATTATTCTCACAGCAACAAATACTAAATACAACTTCAATAGAACCCAATTCAATGTCAATATTACTGAAGAACAATAATACTGAACGGAGAATGAGCAACAGGAAGGCAACAGACACAACAAAAGCATAAGCTATAAAGCAGAGATTACTCAAGAACAACAAAAATTATAACATCGGTTCAAGATCCAATGTCAAGAAACAGAACCTACATCAAAGAATCGAAAAGAAACACGTAATTTCAATTAAAGTAACAAACTTTACCAAAAAGGAAAAAGAACATACTAAAGAGTATCAGGCGGTCCAATGATTGTGACACTCCATTCAAAGATATTGTTCTCGTCAACCAATCCAGCTGAGAACCCATCAACCGGATGCTTACAAAGATCTGCAAAAAGATAAATCGGAACTCGATTCAAGAATCTTACCAAGGCCCCACAGAAAGAACTCATATTCGTATATTCATTCAGTTGAAAACGATCAAGGAAAACAGTACCTTTGAGCTGTTTTTGAAGGAGGAGGCTGGCTTGAGATGCCATGTCAATATAAAAAGATAACAGCTGCGAAACAACTCTGCGATTTCAATATAAAAGTACTCTTCGTTTCACTTCATACACAGAGATTTCGGCGATGGTGGACTTAAATATTGTGCAGAAGAGAGCTAGAATTAGGTACAGTTCGATTTGTTCTATATTCAGTTTTTAAACGAAACAGACGTTGCCACGTAAGCGTTATGTTGCATATAATGAGTATGTGATTTGTTAATTTACCTGATCAGTCCCTATAGCTAAAAACGAAATTAGTTCTTCTACTGAAAAAGAAATAAATTACTTTTAAAAATTACAATTATACTGATACAATAATTTAAAGAGAAAATAACCTCAGTGACCAAAAATCTCATATAATATACGATTTTAATCAATTTTTTCCGGATTTACCAAAATGACCAACAAAATCGCAATGCGATCGCTAATTCGCAACGCGATCTCCATTATCGCAAATTCGCGTTGCATTTTCGCAATGCGATAGTTGAAAATCGCGTTGCGATGGTCTACAGTGTCGTTGCGATTTTCCCAATTCGCAATGCGAATAAGTAAATCGCAACGCGAATTGGGAAAATCGCAATGCGAATAAGTAAATCGCAACGCGAATTGGGAAAATCGCAATGCGATACTGACTATCGCAATGCGATAATACAAAATCGCAACGAGATACTTACTTTCGCAACGCGATACTGACTTTCGCAACGCGATTCTGACTTTCGCAACGCGATAATACATAATCGCAATGCGATTTTCAAAGCGCCATTAGTATCCTGGCCAAGTATTTTATTTTAAAATTCCAAACACGAATATTAATATATTGGAACACTGAACCGTCCACAGTATATCCCGTAATCGCAACTCATAACCTAAAACCTAAAATCACAACTCAGTCCCATCTCCATCTCTCACTCTCTCACCCATCTCCGACGAAATCCGTCCCCATCTCCATTGGTGCTGCGGTTAGTAAATCAATATAATTCTGTTGACTCATTTCTGTTAATTACATGCATTTCACATTTAAATGATTATATTTCTTATGTATATTATTTTGTAGATTCGTTCGTTTATTACTTGCATGCGCCCAGTTATTATAGTTGACGGAGCACATTTGAAAGGTCGATACCTTGGAGTAAACTTATTAGCAGTAGCCATGGATGCTAACAATGGGATATTGCCAATAGCTTACGGGGTTGGCAAATCTGAAACCTCTGATTCATGGACATGGTTTATGGGGCATCTTAGGGATTGCATAGGTCCTATTAGCAATCTGACAATCATATCCGATAGGGCAAACTCAATTGACAACGCTGTTAGAAGGTGTTTCCCAGATGTTTTTCATGGACTTTGTGGTGTTCATTTGTATAGAAATCTAAAATCAAGGTCTGCTGGTATAAAAAGCACAAATGGACATACTGGAAGGCTGTAAAGGCTTATCGGGAAGTGGATTTCAATAAGCATATAAAATGTTTAAGACGTGTTTTGCCTCAGTGTGCTCAAACACTAGAAGATGTTGGGTTTGAAAGATGGTCAAGAGTACATCAACTTGGAGCAAGATATGGTTTCATGATGTCTAATAGTGCAGAATCAATTAACGCTCTAAGTCGTCATTCCCGGAAATTACCCATTACTATGTTAATGGAGTTTTTTCGAGCCTCTATTCAACAGTGGTACTACAGAAAAGAAACCATGTAGGTATTATTTCTTTGAATTCGTAACTTATCATATATTTACTAAGTATTATTATTTAAATTTATAGGAACATTGGAACATCGTGTTACACCATGGACTGAAAAAAAGATAACGAAACGTGTTGTGAAGTCAACGTCATGGAGAGTTGAACCATGTTCAAACACTTGTTGAAGTACTGGATAATAACTTAAATGGGCTTGTCGATCTAAATGCAAGGACGTGTAGTTGTATGAAATGGCAAACATCTGGTTAACCGTGCGGCCATGTTATAAAAGTTGCTCTTCATCTAAACCAAGATGATTCAAGCACATACGCTATGGATTGCTACACTACAGAAGTATATCGACAGACTTATGCCGAGATTGTCTACCCTATTTCACATCCTTCTGAGTGAGACATACCAGATGACTTACAAACAGTTTTGCCACCAGCCATGGACAGAAGGCTACCTGGCCGACCAAAAAGTCACGATCGTATACCGTCTAAGGGTGAAGAGAAGAAGAGATCGACATGTAGTCGGTGCAAGGAAAGTGGTCATACAAGGTTGACATGTGGATCACCAGTGCCATCACAATCATCTTTTCCTCTACCAAAATATGGATCATCATCAAAATCCAAAGCTCATATGGTGTCAAGAAAAAGGCAATCAAAATCGCAATCATCTTTAAAATCCCAATCACAACTGGCTTCACCTTTTGGGACTGTTAACTTAGGTGATTTTTAAATGCAAACGTTGTATTATGTAGATTTTATGTGTGAACTTTTAACATTTTCAGTTAGGCATGTATTAGTAACTTGAGTTTGAAAATTGCTATGATCTGTTCAGTTGTTATCACTTAATAGGCAATCATCTTAATGTCTATCGCAACGCGGAAATTACTATCGCAATGCGAAATGAAAATCGCAACAAGAGAATCGCAATGCGAAATGAAAATCGCAACGCTAATTTTGCAATGCGAAATGAAAATCGCAACGAAAGAATCGCAATGCGAAATGAAAATCGCAACGCGAATTTAATTTCGCGTTGCGTTTCTCTCGTTACGATTTTCATTTCGCGTTGCGATTCTCTCGTTACGATTTTCATTTCGCATTGCGATAGTACTTTTTGCCTTCAACATAATGCAGATTGAAATCACAAATCAACCATTACATTTCAATCAATTAAACAAGCACAAATAAGAATTATGTTAACATCAATTAAACAAATCAACTTTTACAAATCACCTTTTACAAATCAATTAAACAATCAAAAAATAAGCAATAATTATTAGAGAAAATAACACTTCTACTATTGAATCAACTTTTGCAGCCATACATCATTTTCACGCAGCTCACTTCTGAGATTAACCTGCATAAACCAAACATTTGCTCAAACAACACTTTCTATACATCTAAAACCTACAAACAACAAATTATTGAATTCTAGGTACTTAACCAAACATTTTCAAACCACAAGCCTATAAACATACCAATTGTTTATGGACATTTTTATAACGTGGATGCAGGTAGGAAGCGTCTCGTATATATCGATCTAGCCATATAATGTCGAAACCACAAGCCTACTGCAGCTCTATCTATATCGGTGGGAGGTAGATACTTTATACTTCCTGTGATCAAACGGTCCAACGCCAAGCATACGAGAGGACCACAATCCCCTCTGGGTCCTTTCGTTTGTTGTGGTGCGGTCTCGTCTCTGCTAACTGTAATATTGAGCTTCTTTGGCTTCTTGTTTCCAGAACGAGTCCAATAATTTATCGCATCCAAGAATTTAGCCAAATAAGAGCTCCATCCCTTAATAATATCTCTTAAATCAGCCAATGATATGTAATTTATCATGATGTCATATACTATTGCCTTAAGGGATGGGATCTGAAGCTCGACGAGAAGCCAATGGTTACATTCCAAAACAGGGATAAACACATGCAATCATAAGTATAATTCATTCATTTGCGCACTTATTATGAATACCTTTAAACTCAATCTAAAATAAACACTAACCTTATCGACCTCCCACCATGCAGGATAAAGTTTAGCTTGTCCATTGCCCAACACAAATGTTCATCTCGTTGATTCTTCAAGTGAACGGCGTCAAAAGACGTCGGCATAATTGTATATCGTGTATTTCTTTATTTTCCTTAAGTTTCCTAATTATTAGAAGACTTGACACCCACGCATCGATATGCTGTTTTACAAAAAAAGACATATTAGTAACTTACATAAATTTACAAAAAAATAATCAAATTAAAATATAAGAAAAATATAAGACTTACCCCTCCATCAAAATAGCCATTATCTTCGACCCCTAATAATACGCCCCACCAAGACCGATCAAGCAACAAATAGATATCATCATTGAGCTTGCATATGTCAGTGAAACACCCCTGGCTTCGCTCATGTAGATAAAAATCAACTGCGGTCTTAGCCCAAAGGGTGTTATCCAGAATTGTGTCCGGTAGTTGTTTCCTCTCCTCTTTAGATACCGGTATGGTACTGGCCGGTAACTCATACGAAAGCCAACTTGAATCCATCATGTCTGGCACGTCAGAGGGTTTCTCAAGAATCCTACATATGACGCCATGTGAATTGGGCTCTTGAATGGTGGGAGGGACCTCTTCAACGATGACAGTGGCCTCTTGAACGGTGGGAGGGGACTCTCGAGGAATGATAGGGGCCTCTTCAACGATAGGAGTGGACTCTTGAGGGATGACAGGCGAGTCGGGCTTCTTCTTGCGGTGTCTTCGCACTATTGGGGTATACGGAGACTTAATAGCACGTGCACGCCGTCTGATGCGTGAACTCTGTCGTGCAAGAAAAACCCGACGTAAAGCATCCACCTTATCGGTCCGCTAAATAATTAAATACAAATATCAGTAAATAAACGGACATGATATTTAAACAGTGAAAACAAAGACAAATATATTTCAAAACTTCAACCAAAAGACAAAACAAAGACAAATACTAACTTCACAGTGTTAAAGAATACACAATTTAGCAGAATTGGCAGCAACCGAATAAATTTACTTCAATCAAAAGACAAAACAAAAAGACAAATACTAACTTCACAGTGTTAATAAACAGTTTAGCAGTATTGGAAGCAACCGAATAAATTTACTAAGCAATCTAAGTGAAATGGTTAATTTAAGTGAAATTACGAGTAAATTTATCATCAAGTTAAATATGGAAAATCTTAAACTTACCTCGTTGCGTAGAGTATGAACCTCATTCTGCAACGATACTACCATCTCACTTAGAGCGGCAACCTCACCACGTAAAGTAGACACCTCCACACGCCATGCACCATCGTTATCGCGTAGAGTATCGATCTCCTCACGCAAGGCATTGACCTCCACACGCCATGCACCATCGTTATCA